GGTAGGAGGGCTTTCTTCATCATTTCTTGTAAGTGAGGTCTAATGGCAATGAACTCCCTCAGCTTTTGTTTATCTAGGAAAGCTTTTCTTTCTCCTTCATATCTGAAGGATAGTTTCACTGGATACAGTATTCTTGGCTGAAAGTTTTTATCAGTATTTTGAATATATCATTCCTTTCTCTCCTAGCCTGTAATGTTTCTGCTGAAAAATCTGCTGAAAGCCTGACAGGGATTCCTTTGTAGGTTATTTTCTTCTGCCTTGCTGCCCTTAATATTTTTTCTTTGGCATTGACTTTGCCAGTTTCAGTAGTATATGCCTTGGAGAAGATCTTTTTTCATTGATGTAATTAGGAGTTCTATTGGCTTCACATACTTGTAAGTCCAGTCTTCCCCAGGTTTGGGAAGTTCTTAGCTATTGTTTCTTTGAACAAGCTCTCTGCTCCTTTTTCCCCCCTTCTTCCCCTGGAATACCCATAATCGTTATATTTCTTTTCTTAATTAAGTTGGATATTTCTTGTAGAATTTCTTCATTGTTTTTTAAATCTTATTTCTCTCTCCTCCTCTACCTGAAACAGTTCTATATTTCTGTCTTCTTATACATTAATTTTGTTCTCCATAACATCAGCTCTGTTTCTTATGGTTTCTAGATTATTTTTTTTATCTCATTAATTGTTTTCTTCATGTCCAGAATTCCTATTTGGTTTTTATTTTTAGAGTTTCAATCTCTTTGGTGAAGTATTTCTTCTGCTCATTACTTTCATTCCTGAGCTCGTTATTGTCTTTCTGAGTTTTCTTGTAACTCATTGAGTTTCTTTATGACAACTGTTTTGAATTCTCTATCATTTAGATTGTAAATTTCTATTACTTCAGCATTGGTTTCTGGGGACTTGTCATTTTCCTTCTGCTCTGAAGTGTTACTGTCATTCTTTATGGTGTTTGATTAATTGATCCTTTGCCAGTGCATTTGTGGTAGTTATCGGGTCACAGATTCTACCTGCCCCCCTTAGGGGGAGCAGGAACTGTGTTTTCTGATTCTGCCCCATCTGCTGAAAGTTGTGAATGTAGTGCTTCTCTGTGTTTGCCCAGGCTGGCCACAGCTGCTCTGCAGTTTGCGCTCACATGGGCCGAGCCTCTGTGCTCAGCATGTGGGTCAGTCACCATAGGTGGGTCCTCTGTGCTCAGCAGGGGACCAGCTGAGCTGCTGAGTGGTAGGCAGGAGGGGCGCCTACACAGGCGCTGAGCTGCTGCTCCGTGGGTCCCATGGACTGCTGTGTTCCACAGATGGGCAAATTCTCACCTGCGGTGTGCTAGAGGGCAGGGGTGTCCACACAGAGGCTGAGGTGCCACACGGTGGGTCCCACGAGCTGCTATGCTCCATAGGCAGGGGCACCTTCTGAGTGGGTGGGGTGCCTTCTCACCTGTGCTGTGCTCAGAGGGCAGGTGCCAACACAGGGGCTGAGCCACCACTCAGTGTAGAGTCTTCCCACCAGTGGGGCCACCGTGGCATAGTGGGCATTGCCACAGGCTGGAGTGCAATTCTAAAAGCCTTCGTGCAGGCCAGGCTGTCCCCACCTCCTCTTTTAGTCATGCTGGGCCACTGTGTGAGGATCTGTGACCTGGCCTGCTGCCACTGGGGAGGGGGAAGGATGCACTCACCTACTTCCACTACCTCCCAGGCATCCAGTCCACCCACCCTCAGATGCATAGCTGCCTGGATCTCAGACGTCCTCTTGTACTCTGCAGGGAATCCTCTGCTGGTTAATGAATGTCCATTTAGTTGCAACTTAAAGGGGAGAGACTAAGGGGAGAACTCACTCCACCGTGATGCTGACATCATTCTTGGAGGGACACGTTTTTGAAATCTAACTTGTAGTGTTTTCTCCATTTCCTAAGTCTGATGTTATGCAGAAAACAACATACTAAGCCCTCATATAAAAATAATGTTAGTATACTAGTCTGCAAAGAAGCAGTCCTATTGTTTCTAGAAAGGATAGGTCATTCTAGAATTAACTATATTTAGGATACTGCATTGATGGGAGGCATTGACCATCTAAAGTACCCCACAGGAGGACCATTAGGATGTTGAAGTTTTGGAAGCAAATTCTGAGAAACCTTAGTAGAGACATGATCATAAGTTTTTATGTAATCAGAGGGCCATGATATAGGTGAGAAAGCAGATATATTTTTTTCTTTCTCTAAAAAATTAAACTAGGATAGTTTGTAGGAGTTACACAGAAATAGATTTGATTTCTGCATGAGAAAAATAACTCAATTAATATGACCGACAATGATTAGACCTCAGAAGTGGTAACCTCCCTCTCAGAAATAATCAGAGGCTGTCTGATCCTTACGAGTTCAGTAGGTAGGTTCATCATTCAATAGAGGTTCATCATATTCTAAAGTTTTTTTTCTAACTCAGAGTTCTCTGATATTGCATATTAATTACCTCATTTGTTCTACAGCATCATTTTAAAAGAGGAGTGGTGCAGGTAGGAACTTTGTGGCAGGAGAACCAAACCAACAGAAAATAAGAAACTTGTTTAAAATCTAGTCTCTTCATTTTTTTGTTCATTCTGTCAGTACCATCAAAACATAATTTAAGACATAATGACTCATTATGTTGTTGGAAGAGCCAGAATTAGAGCCCAAGTCTTATGCATTTTCCATTAAAGAACAATAAGCGAAACAGTCATGAAAATCTTGAGAAAGCTAGTATTGTTGCTATCTGATTGTTTGACTTACTATACATAGAAAAAGATGGGGGTTTTTCTTATTAAAGCAAAGTATAAAAGTTTACTGTGCCTCAGGGCCGGCCTGGTGGCTCAGCGGTTAAGTTTGCATGTTCTGCTTCAGTGGCCCAGGGTTCACCGGTTCAGATCCCGTGTGCGGGCATGGCACCACTTGGCTCACCATGCTGTGGCAGGCGTCCCACATATAAAGTAGAGGAAGATGGGCATGGATGTTAGCTCAGGGCCAGTCTTCCTCAGCGAAAAGAGGAGGATTGGTAGCAGTTAGCTCAGGGCTAATCTTCCTCAAAAAAAAAAAAAGTTTACTGTGCCTCAAAGAACATCCTAGAGTTGTTATTATTGTTATCATTATTGTTAATGATAGAATAATATAAAAAATGGATTCTTAACTAGAACAGACCTAATGTATCTCCATTTCCTAGTAGCATATATTGTCATGGAATTCTAAGTAAAAGAAGTATGATAATAAACTTTGTATAGAATCTTATTGTTTTAATCGGTTCCAAGCTATGTTATGATCGTTTTAGAAATCGTTATACAAAAAGTAGATTATCCTCTTAGCATGAGGAGAGAACCTTCACTGTTCACTCTATAAGTAGCCTGGGATTTAAAAGAACTCCCTTCTCAGTACCTATGGAAATAGGTTGTGAGCGTAAATCCCAAACACCTTAAAGCTTTCCTGAACAGCTGTATTTAAAAATTACTCTGAAGCCTACATTTAAGGAAAGAATTACCTAATTGCATATTCCTGTGTAGCATGTTTCACTTAGAGCAAGCTGGTTTTTTCTTGTTTGTCTTAAATACTTTGATGTGATGAGCAGATGAAGATTGAATAGGCTGAGAGAACTACTCCTGGAAAGACCTTCCCTGATAGTCTGGTAGGGCTTAAATGAGAATGTGCAGGGCTCCTCCCCTGACTTACCTCGTCAGTGACCAGCATATCGGAGTTCAGCCTCTAGAGTGTCAGCGCATGTACTTTAATAAACACTCTGAGTAGCTCCACATGAAGCAAATGCTCTGTTTGAAAGTAAGCCAGGATAAAAAGATATAGATACCTCAAGTAGTACAGGGTGTGCTTTGTTTGGTAAAATGAATTTAACCTTAGTTGTAGGAGGACATATTAACTATGATTTGCTAGAATAACTCATTCAGTCATTTAAATGATGACCGGGCATGTGCCTTCACAGAACTCACAGCACGTAAGAATAAAAGATTATGATAAAGCTAAAAATGTAAGCACCCTGTGTAATCTCTGTAAGCTGTGGAGATAGGGATTGGGAGTGCTGCTTTAAATCCCGTGTGACAACATACTGACTGGCTCTTGCCCAATTTTTCCGTATTTCTATTCATTTTTGACTGTATTCATCCTGGTGTTGTGATGCCACCTCCTCTTACACTGCTTCCTTTCTCTTTCCTCTCACCTGAAATATTGGCTTCCAACTGCATTCTACCCTTTCCTCACCTTTCTCCTCAACCCTCACTTCTCCTTGGGCGAATTCATTTCAGGCTCTTTGCAGCAAACCACATGCTAATGACTCCCAACTTTAACCTCTCTCTTCTAAGCTTTAGACCCATATTTCCAACTATCTCCTGAATATTTTCATCTGGATATGCTGTGGACCCCTTGAATTCAGCAGATCCTGTCTGAACTCATTTTGTTTCTCAAACCTTTGACGTTTATTTTATCTCTTGGTTAATGACATGCAAGATACCCAATAGCCTAGGCTAAAAGCCATGCTGTCAGCCTTTTTCACTCTCAACTCAATTAATTATTAAATTGTATAATTTCTGCCTCCTTAAGTTATTTCAAATTTGCTCCCTCCTCTCCATTACCACTCCCGTCACCTCAGTTCACATTTTCAACATTTACAAGAACTTCTGTCATCTTCTCTGAAGCTGGTTCTCGTTTTCCAACTCATCCTTCAATGTAAGCAGAGAAGTCCTTCATAAATGCCAATTTGATTGTGTCACTCCCCTACTTAAAACTTTCAGTGGCTTCATATTGTTTGCAGTTGTTAAAATCTGAAGTATCTACAAGGGTTAGGCAAATAATTTATATGAGTGAAGTGGGCCAAGTGTGAGACAATAGGGGAGAATAGGAGAGTGTATTCCTGTCTAAAGAAATTCATATTCAGAATTTTAAAAAACATGTGACAAACCTATCTGAGAATCTAATGTTGCTTATGGGTCTCCAGTTAGTGCAGCCAAGTCTAAACTACTGAGCATGGCATATGCAACGTTTCTTTGATATCAGGTATGTCCTTGAGATGAACAACTTGGAACCCTCAGCTATTGCAGAGAATGACGTAACCAGTGAGTCATATTTTGTTGTTTTGTTTCTAGGTCAAAATGTATCAGAATAAAGAGTATGAGTGTATTATTGGAAGTACCACTGTCTTGATTTTGGAGGCCGTGGAGCATAATGGAAAGTCTATGGGCTTTGGAGTCAGCGTTGACCTAGGTTCACTTACCAGTTCTGCCACATATTAGCTGTGTGATTTTGAGCTAATCATTTAGTGGCTTTGAGACCAAATTTCCTACTCTGTTTAAAAAATAAAGAAATAAAACCTTTCAGGATTGAGGGAATAAAATCAAATAACGGCTTTAAATTATCCATCTCAATGCTTGGCACGTAGTAACTCTTCAGTAAAAGACAACATCTAGACAGGTAGAAAAAATTTGGGAAGTGGCGATAAGTGTACGAAAATCTAATTCCCCCAGGTACATTCTTCCCAACAATTGTATTTGTGGCCTAAAGAAGAGCAAACCTGTTGGAAGCCATTATCGAGTAAGGCAGGCAATTGGAAGCTGACAGGCAGATGATTCACCCACGTGACTGAAAACTGGGAGCTTACCAGCCTAGCTGGCTGCCTAGCTGAAAATCGAATTTAAGCCTAGAGGGTTGCTATTAACAAATTTATGAATATGGTAATATGGACTCTCTACAACTATGCCTAATGTGCTAAGCCTTTTTTAACTTTTTTGTCTACGTAGAATCTTTAAATTTTTTTTAGTAAAACTGCTATTAACTGAAAATTTAGTTCAATAGTATCAGGATATATAGGATATCTTATTTTGGTTTATTCTCTATGGCTAATAAATTTGAAGCACCAAAGGAAGGAAATGAACAACTTAGTTTTCTTTACCAGAACATTTAGTATGGTAAGGAAGGAAAGCTGTTAGATTTATATTTAATTCTAATGCACAAATATATTAATTATATTTTGATTGCTCTAGGAACACTAAAGAAGTCTTGAATAACTTTCCTCATTTGCTTAAGGGAAAGAAAATACACCATCTTCTCAAGATTTACATTTTTCATTTTGATTTTTAAAATTCAGCTTGATCTTAACATTTAAGTATGCTTTGCTCAGTAATTTGTGTACCAAGCTGACATGGTTGAAATAGGGGCTAAGTAGCTAACAGTATGCTTTTCTGCCTTACCACAGAGCTATAGCGATAGTGAGTAAACTAGTATAAATAATAACCTGTTGGCAGAATGACATCCACTGAACTCCTGATTGTACTTGCCATGGAGAGACTAGAAAGAACAAAGTAGAAAGCTAGCTTGTTTTAAAAGACTTAGGGTTTCAACTTCTTGCTGTGCAGCAGTATGTCTCACCACAAACAGACTTTTGTGCCCAGATAAATAATACTATCAGTAACAGAGCAACAACGTTAATATTATGTTGTTGCTAAGAGGATGATTTCTAAAAAAGCAAAGCTGAAGTATTTGAGTGTTGAAACACAAAGATAGACAACTGCTGTCTTTAATGGTCATGGTAAAATTCTCTTTTGGTTTTAAGGAGTATTGCTAAAAGATTGATCTGGATAAATATGGTGGCATTCTGTGACTTGATATTACTTTTTAGTGTTTAACCGCCTGTTTTTCTGAAAGGAATGATTTTTTCTTTTTGGTCAATGCCTTCTAAATATTTTCTTTCTCCTCCCTCCCTCTCTTCCTCCTTCCCTCCTACGCTTCCTTCCTTCCTTTCTACTTGCAGCTCCTCAGAGAAATTTTGAAATTGCCTTCAAGATGTTTGACTTGAATGGAGATGGAGAAGTAGACATGGATGAGTTTGAACAGGCAAGTTGTCCTGGAAAGTTCCATTAAGTATATTAATATTTAACACATTTTCACGTGCCTTGGAGTTTCTTTGGCCTTGGTCAATATCCTCAGATACTATCCAGTTCTTGAAGTACCTAATGTGTCATTTTTCAAAAATATCCTTACTTTTAACAGGTGGGTTTTTTTTCTTTGTTTTCACTCTAAATGTAACGAATTATTTCAGTGTATGATTAAGGTCAAGGTTTTGCTTTGATTCCCCAAGATGAATTATACTTTAATGCTGAGAGGCTAAGTTATGGCTATTCAATCATATATTCAGTCAACATTTATTAAACAGCTCCTTTGTGCCACACAGTTCCAGAATACAAGGATGAATGACATATGTTCTGAAAAAATTTCTATAAGACAGGGAAAAATGATACCATGCCTTTTGACCATAGCATGTACATAGACATGTACAGTTTCTTCTGAATCCTAGGAAGAGATTACATTTCCATAAAACTCTGTCATTGGAGGGCCATGATACCTCTCCAGATACAATTATTATGATTGTCAGAAGTGGTTTCAAAACAGAAAAAAATATATATACGGGAGAAAGCACTTTCATATTCAAAATGAGAAAAGGAGGGAAAAGAAGTGGGAGAAAGTATCAGGTATAGTATATCTTTAACTAAGAGATGCACAAAGTCAAATATTTCAAAATACCTAGAGACATTTGTTCAAATTTCCATCCTATATCCATCTTAATACCTTCACTTTTCCATAATCCTGCATTTTACTGGTATTTCCAGGTGCTCAAACAATTATAAATAGAACTTGTTTTGATATGTTTTTATTTATTTATTTATTTATTTTATTCTTCTTCCCAAAGCCCCCCATACATAGTTGTAGATTCTAGTTGTAGGTCATTTTGGTTATGGCACGTGGGATGCCACCTCAGCATGGCCCGATGAGTGGTGCCATGTCCATGCCCAGGATCTGAACCGGTGAAACCCTGGGCCACCAAAGCGGAGTGTGTGAACTTAACCACTTGGCCCCGGGGCCAGCCCCTGATATGTTATCTTTTATTTTAGATAGAACTATTTTATTTTTTATTGAGATGTAATGGACATATACCATTGTTTTAGTTTCAGGTGTACAACAATGATTTGATCTATGTATATATTGTGAAATGATTACCATAATAAGTTTAATTAACATCCATCACCAACATAGTTACAAATTTTTTTTTCTTGTGATGAGAACTTTTAAGACCTACTCTCTTTTCAACTTTCAAATACACTGTACTGTTTTGTTAACTGTAGTCACCATGCTGTACATTACATCCCCAGGACTCATTTATCTTAGAACTGGGTACCTTTAGATCACCTTCACCTATTTTCCCACCCACCTACCCCCCACCTCTGGCAACCAACAATCTGTTCTCTGTATCTATAAGTTTGGCTTTTTTTTTAAAGATTCTACATATAAGTGAAATCATACAGTATTTGTCTTTCTCTGTCTGACTTACGTCACTTAACATAATGCCCTCAAGGTCCATCCATGTTGTCACAAATGGCAGGATTTCCTTCTTTTTTATGGCTGAATAATATTTCAGTGTGTGTGTGTGTGTGTGTGTGTGTGTGTGTGTGTATGTATGTATCACATTTTCTTTATCCATATATCCATTGATGGACGCTTACATTGTTTCCATGTCTTGGCTATGATAAATAATGCTGCAGTAAACATGAGGGTTGCAGATATAGCTTCAAGATAGTGATTTTTTTCCTTCTGGTAAATATGCAGAAGGGAAATTGCTGGATCATATGGTAGTTCTTTTTTAAAATTTTCGAGGAACCTCCATACTGTTTTCCATAGTGGCTGCACCAATTTACATTCCCAGCAACAGTGAACAAGTGTTCCCGTTTCTCCACATCCTCGCCAACACTTGTTATTTTTTGTCTTTTTGATAATAGCCATTCTAACAGGTGTGAGTGATATCTCATTGTAGTTTTGATTTGCATTTCCCTGATAATTAGTAATGTTGACCATCTTTTCACATACTTCTTGGCCATCTGTATGTCTTCTTTGGAAAAATGTCTATTCAGATCCTCTGCCCATTTTTTAATCAGATGGTTTGGTTGTTTGTTATTGAGTTGTATGAATTCTTTATATATTTTGGATATTAACCCTTTATCAGATATATGATTTGCAAATATTTTCTCTCATTCATGAGGTTGGCTTTTCATTTTGTGGATGGTTTCCTTTGCTGTGCAGAAGCTTTTTAGTTTGATGTAGTCCCGTTTGTTCATTTTTGCTTTTGTTGCCTTTGCTTTTGGTGTCCAATCCAAAAATCATCACCAAGACTAGGGTCAGGGAGCTTATGGCCTATGTTTTCTTCTAGGAGTTTTACAGTTTCAGACCTTACATTTAAGTCTCTAATCCATTTTGAGTTAATTTTTGTGTATGATGCAAAATAGGGTCCAGTTTCATTCTTTTGCATGTGGCTGTCCAGTGTTTCCAACACCATTTATTGAAGAGACTATCCTTTTCCCATTGTGTATTCTTGGCTCCTTTGTCATAAATTAATTGACCATATGTATGCATGAGTTTATTTCTAGATTCTCTATTCTGTTCCATTGATCTATGTCTATTTTTATCCCAATACCATACTGTTTTGATTGCTATAGCTTTGTAATATAGTTTGAAATGAGGAAGTGTGATGCCTCCAGCTTTGTTCTTTCTCAAGATTGCTTTGGCTATTTGGGGTATAATTATTTTTTTTATATTTTCAAAGAACCAACTTTTCGCTTTGTTAATTTTCTCTATGGTTTGTGTTTTCTAATTAATTGATTTCTGCTCTCATTGCTTTCCTTCTACGTATTTTAGGTTTTCCTTGCTCTTTTATGAGTTGCTCAAGACAGTATCTTTGGTCAGCAGTTTGAGAATTTTCTTCTTTTCTAATATAAGGATTTAAAGCTATACATTTTCCTCTAAGCACTGCTATAGCAGCATCCTACAAAATTTGATATATTGTATTTTGTTATCATTTAGTTTGGAATATTTTCTATTTCCCATGTGGTTTCCTTTTTGATACATGCATTGTTTAGAAGTGTGTTGTTTAATTTCCAAGTATTTGGGGTTTTGTTTTTTGGATCTCTTACTGCTACTAATTTCTAATTTAGTTCCATTGTTCTCAGAAAATATACTCTGCATGATTTAATTCTTTTGAATTTTTTGAGACTGGTTTTATGGAACAGCATATGATCTATCTTGGTAAGCATCAATGTGTCTTTTTAAAGAATGTGTATTTTGCAGTTGTTGAGTATAGTGTTCTATACATGTCAATTCTGTCAAGATGGTTGCTAGTGTCGTTCAGATTCTATATCCTTACTGATTTTTTTAACCTAGTCATTCTAGCATTTGTTGAGAGGGAGTTGTTGAAATCTCCCTCTATAGTTATGCAATTCTTCATTTTACTTTAATTCTGTCAATTTTAGCTTTATGTATTTTGAAGTCCTGTACACATTTCTTTTCTTTCTTTTTTTTTTTAAGATTGCCACCTGAGCTAACATCTATGGCCAATCTTCTTTTCTTTCTTCTTCTTCTTCTCCCCAAAGCCCCCCAGTACATAGTTGTATATTCTAGTTGTAGGTCCTTCTGGCTGTGCTATGTGGGATGCCGCCTCAGCATGGCCTGATGAGTGGTGCCATGTCTGTGCCCAGGATCCGAACTGGTGAAACCCTGGGCCGCTGAAGTGGAGCACATGAACTCAACCACTCGGCCACGGGGCCAGCCCCCTGTGCACATTTCTGATTGTTATGTCTTCCTGATGAATCAATCCTTTTATCATTATGAAATAACACTCTTTATCTTCAGTGATACTCTTTATCTTAAAGTCTACATTATGTGATATTAACATAGAAACTCCAGCCTTCTTATGCTTACTATTTGCATGATGCATTATTTTTCCATCCATTTGCTTTAAATCTATCAGTGTCTTTATGATTAAAATGCACCTTTTATAGACAGCACATAGTTGGGTCTGTGCTTTTTTATCCATTCTGACAATCTTTGCCTTTTAATTGCAATATTTAGTCCATTAATATTTAACATAATTATTGATTTAATTGTATTTAGATCTACCATTTTGCTATTTGTTTTCTGTTTGTTCTTTCTGTTTTTTGTTCCTCTGTTCTATGTTCCTGCCTTCTTTGGGGTTAAATAACTATTTTTTCAAGAATTATGGTTTAAATTATCTGGCATTTTAGCTATATCTCTTTGCCTTATTTTTATAATAAGAACATACATTCTTAAATGTACACAGTCTACTTAGAATTAATATTGTACTACTTCACATAAAATGTGAGAACCTTGCAACCATGTAGTTTCATTTACCTTCCTCCATCCTTTATGCTATAGTTGTCTTGTGTATTCCATTTACATAAATTATAAACCCCATAATACATTGTTAATTTTGCTTTAATGGTCTTATATATTTTAAAAGAAAATAAGAGAAAAAATATTCTGTATATTCATTCACATATTTACCATTTCTGATGCCCTTCATTCATTCCCAAGATCCTAATTTCCACCTGGTACCATTTCCCTTCAGTTGGAAAAACTGTCTTTAGCATTTCTTGAAGTGCATATTTCTTGGCAACGAATTAATTTATATCATTGTTAGTTTTTGAAGGAAAAATCTAGATATAGAGTTACAGGTATAGATTTAAAATTCTCTGTTCTTTCACTACTTCTGATTCCTTCTGATGGAAAGTCATTGGTTATTTGAATCATTGTTCCCCTGTGTGTAATATGTTGTTTTTCTCTCTCTGCTTTCCAGATTTTTCTTTGTCTTTGGTTTCTAGAAATTTGATTATGATATGCCTCAGTGTGGTTTTCTTTGTATATAGGCTTCTTAGTATTTTATGAACTACTTGTATTTATAAATTTATGATTTTTATCAAATTTGAGAAGTTTCTGGCTATTATTTCTTTTTAAAAAAATGGTTTTTTGGCCCCCATTCTCTCTCACCTCTT